TATGCACATACATACATACATATAAACGTACATATGTATGTATGTTAAATGCATTTCCTTACTTTCGTTCGTAGCAGTGTGCGGTTTCATGCCCTATTGTGTGCATCTGTTCGCTCGTACAAGCTTTTGGGGTTTTTGCAATCGTATTTTTAATTTTTTTTTTCCGCCTGCTCTTACATTTTATGTTTATGCTTTCCGCGTGTGTGTTATGTGTGAATATGTATGTGTAGAATGCTGCTTCTGAAAAAATGTGAGTCAAAAGCGGCCCCGTGGCACAAAAACACGTCGCCGAGAGTTTGAGGACAGTAATGAGCTTAACATACTTATGTATGTATGTGTGTTTTCATAAAAATATACAGTGGCTCAAACAAGTGTTCACATGTTGACTTTTTTATAAAAACAATGTTTTTCAAGTAATTTTTTTGTTGTTATTTTTCTATAAAAATATTTTCTATGCATTTACAAAAACCATATATCGATGGCTGAGTGGAAGATCGACCTATCTCGGCAGCCAGTTCAAAAACGCCCTATCTCAGAAAATTTTTCAACAAAGTCCTATTTCAGAATTCGGTTGAAGAACGCCTCAGAATTCGGTTCAAAAACGCCCTATCTTAGCTGCAGGTTCAAACACGCCCTATATCAGCACATTTTTAGAAATAATAGACTCGTCGTACTTTTAAGAATTTTGGCTATAATATTTAGTTTATTTTATGTTTAATATTTTTTTTTATAAAAGCCTAGGTAGTTATACAACAATCATCATATAAATCCGCTTTTCAAACTTTGAACAAAATATATAAAAATTAGATACATTTTCAACAAATTTTCAAAATTTTATTCATAACTTTTAGAAAAATTCTTGGAATGGAATTTTGTAGCCCATTCAATTTTACAAATTTAAAAACTGCATACCAAAAATTTTTCTAAAAATTCTGAATAAAAAGTTTGAAAATTTGTCGAATTTTTATAATTTTTGTATAAACTTTGAAAAGTGGATTTATATGATTTTTGTTGTATAACTAGCCAGACTTTTATAAAAAAAATTAAACATAAAAGAAACCATGGAAATATAGCCAAAACTCTTCAAAGTAAGGCGAGCCTATTACTTTTGCCGCCAGTGTACATATGTAAATCAAAAATTCGACAAATTCGCATCAAAATTTTTACATGCACACCTACGTGTTCATCTCGCCAAAGAGAAGGTTCATACATAGATAGGTTTAAAGAGAGTTACCACCTGTTTAAAAAGTTAAATTAAATTAAATTAATAGAATTGATCAAATATCGCTATACGGGTGTCAGAAGGCAAAGGGTTTAAGACAGCTCATTAAAAATAAATATTTTTTGAAGAGGGTTGCCACCTGTTGGAAAAATAAAAATCCCTTAACTTGATTAGATAAGAGACATATTGCAAAATAGGTAGGAAACGAAACAGATTTAAAAAAACTCACCTTCCAAAATATTTTTAAGAAGGTTGCCATCTGTTTGAATTCGATTCCCATATTTGTTAAGTCGTTCTGTTCAGCAGATCTTTCATTAAGGGCGAGTTTTTCAAATTTTTTTTTCTGTTTTATTTATTGCAAAATACTACGAAATTATTTTGCCTTTTGATTTCCAAATTGAGGCTATATAAATTTTTAGCAGTCATTTCTGACTAACAGTAAATGTTATTATAGAGAAAATATGTAAAATAAACCAGTTTTACAAAATTTTTCTTAAAAATGTCTCTTTTGAAAGGTGATATTTGGGGCTATATATTTAAAAAAGTCGAAAAATAAAAAATTTGAAGAACTTAAAAAGAAGTATATTTTGCAAACTCTGAATTAAAAAAAAAAAATAATAATTAAATGCCAATTGTTTGACATAACCTTGCAAAAAATTTTTTTTCAAGTTTCAAAAATTCACATCTTTCAAAAAATTGCCACCCTAAAAAATTTGCGGATCTTTTAAAACTCGAGCCAAAATTTTTTATAAGTTTTTGGTTTTCGGATTTTTTCATTTCACAATTTTGTAAATTTTTGTATTTTTTCGGATTTTTCAATATATTGTTTATAGTCCCAAATATCACATTTAAAACGAGATCATAACCATTTCAGTAGATATAATAGTTCTTGAGATATTAAAAAAAAAAACTAACAAAATCCTGGAAGCTGTGAAATTTAGAATTTTGTATAACTTTCGAAAATTAAAATTCAGATTTTTTTTCTTTGGCAGAACTTTGTTATAGGATAAAAGAACAGTTCTGAGCAAAATTCATCCAAATCAAAAATGGTCGATTCCCAACATTGGTCGATTTGACATGGATTGACCCAATTATTTGTATGTAGGTCTTTGAAGAAAATAAATATGTTTGAATTGTGTAAATGTATGCTTATTTATACATATATACGTACATGTAAAATATTTGAATCTTTGACTTACCAATTACATATGTATGTACATACATTTTCTCGTATTTATACCACATTTTGGGTGGTAGCATGCTAATGCCTAGATATCTACATATACGAGTACATCATACATATGTATGTAAATGTGCTTGTTACCCATGTATAATGCACATCTTTATAATAGATTACGAAAATATTTACCATTACCCTACAGTTATCGATGCATCTAGCAGAGAAATCATTGAGTTCTTCTAGTAAGTTACCCCAAAAGCCAATTCTTCATCAACCTGCCTAGGGGGACACCACAAGTGCGCCACTTAAATTCAACACAGTTGCTGCATAATCGGCTTTGTCGGCCTAACCTCCCTTCATGCTTACCAACTACATGGTACCACCAACGTCCACCATATACACATACATATGTATACTCGTAGATATAAGTATGTAATTGATTCCCTTGGCAGCTTGTCATTGAGTGAAGATTTTAATATTTTCGATTTTTTTGCTATTCACATACATATTTTGTTGTGTTTCAAGTGCAATCAGATATCTATGTACATATAAGATACTAGTATAAAACTATATAATCGGTCGGTGTTAGACCAACGCACGATTCTTTCTACATACATACTTAGAGATGTATTCAGGTTTGTGTGTGTGCAGACACTTAAGTACATAAATATGTACTAAACAACAGCTGCTGTAGCGCGCTGATGATGATGATGATACCACACTACAAACAACAACATACATACATACATATGTATGTGCATTAGTGTGGTAAAGAAAAAAAAAACCGAGATAGGGTTTGGGCACCTTTTAAAAATTTCCTCTTCCCGAAAGAGGTGCTGGTACCAAACTTTAAGTTTCTTAAGTTAAGTATAAATTTAGAGGATGCTCATGATGCTCATATTTTATTCTAGAGGTATTACATATGTACATACAGTGACTCAAACAAATGACCACGTGTTGGTTTTCTTCAAATATTTGTAATGTTTTTCGCGTTAAAATTTTTTTTTGTTGTTTTTATATAAAAATATCGCCGTTTAAATCACAGTTTCAAACTTTATACAAAATTTAGGAAAAAGTCAAAAAATTTTCCGTTTTATAGCCCATACAGTTTTAGTCTAATGCATGCAAGTTTCAAACGACTAAAAAATCGTGTTGATTTTTGAGATTTTTTTTTTTTTTGGTGACGAACTTTTGCACTGTTTTTCATATAAGTATGAATTTCTTAAGAAATAAAACGCGTCAGACCGTCAGCAACAAAATTTCAAAATATCAACGCAAGTTTTTGTAAATTGCGCTTATTATATTAAAAACCCGAAAAAGTAGACTACAAAAATAATTCTCAAAAATCAATGCAATTTTTTAGCCGTTTGAAACTTGCCCTTCTTCATTAGACCAAAATTGTATGGGCTATAAAACTGCATACCCAAAAATCTTCTAAAAGTTCACCATAGAAAGTTAAAATTTTGATGAAAATTTTTGAATTTTCCTGAATTTTGTATAAAGTTTGAAACTGTGATTTACACGGGTTTGACGATATTTTTAGATAAAAATAATAACAAAAAAATTTAACGCGAAAATCATTACGAATATTTGAAGAAAATCCACACGTGGTCATTTGTTTGAGTCACTGTACTTTAATCAAATAATTGGTTGAGCAACTTAAGAACCTTTCAAATTTAAATTATCTAAAAAAATATCACAATCACCAATATTTTTGCCAGTTTAACAGCGAACCAGCAGCACATTTCAAGGTCATTGAACACCCTGTATTGGATACAGTAGAAAATTGGAAGTTGGTATAGATATCGCAAATATCAAAAGGAAAAAACTATGCGGGTGCCTCGTTTTCGAGGATGTCATTTTTTTCCCCCATACAAAAATTGGACCACTCTAATGTGCACATGTACATATGTTCGATGGCGGCACCATCACTAAATATATACATATGTATGTACTTACATTATAGTTGCCGCCAAGTTTGGCGTCGATGATGCCTTCAGTAGCGTTTATTGAATCAAAAGATGATTCAGTTTGTTTATTTGTGCCAGTGACGTCTACCCTTGCCTGTTAGCTAGCTAGCTCGCTCGTTCGCTTGGTCCCTGCGCACAGCACTCACCGCATATCTTAACCCTGCCTTGCTTTGTGAATGATTTAATTGGCAACGTCTGTGTGCGAATATTAGATAGATTCAAGTGCTTAATCGTTTTCGTTCGATGTGAGTGCCACTCATAGATACCCGTTGGGCCCTCCCTCCCCCCCAAACACTTCCCACTTTCGTAAGTGTGCCACAGACGTCGTTGCCGCCGCTGCAATCATATTTCTTGCCCATTCAGTATGCGAGTATTTCATAGTTCAGTTGGCAAATGTGAAAGAGCGCAATTGGGGTTTTGAAATTTTATTCGGTAGCTAAGAGTGGACAAGACAATTAGAAAAAAAATAAAATATTTGCACACAAATACTTTTTATTCGCGCATTGTACAACTGCTGGCGTATTGAATTTTTAGCTGTACGACTAAGTATATTCCAATAACCAATATTCGTATCTTTTCAATTAATCTCTACTGTAGTCAATTTTGGCCTTACATTCACTCAACTCTGCATTTGACTATCTATTCTTTTCAGCTCCTTAATAAAATACACATAACACATTACAATTGAAACGGTATGGTGAAAATGGAATCCACAGAAGAACAGGATCGAAAGTTAGTACTGGAGTTTTGTCATTTGCTCGAAAAATCAAAGCAACTGTTCAATGGCCTCAGGTAAGTGAAATTATTGCAATTATTTACATATATTAATTTATGGAAATACAATTTTTTGTGTTTTTTTTTTTTTTATAAAACAACACAGAGACCTGCCACAATATGGACATAGACAGTGGCAGGCGTATTTCGGGCGTACATTTGACGTGTATACGAAATTATGGAAATTCCAACAACAGCATCGCATGGTATTGGACTCGAAATACGGACTGAAGCGTTGGCAAATTGGCGAAATTGCAAGCAAAATTGGACAGCTTTATTATCATTACTAGTAAGTACCAATGTATGTATGCAAGTATTGAAATACTAAGATTACTGAGATTAATTAGGAATATGAAAATTCTTAATTCCATAAGTTCATCGGATGGAAATTGAAAGAGATTTTAGATAGATGCTGTTTAGTTAATTGCTCTTCTACCTAGCGTTCGCTAAGAAGCCTAGTGGGGCACTGGGCAGAAAGGTAAAGTTTGTATACCAATTTTGGTGTCAGCTACCCTCCAGTAACCTGGTTATATGTTTTAGAGAAAAAGCTAATAGTCAAATACCCTAATAGAAACTCTCTCAATAAACTAACTTTACTAAGTAAAATCTTGCTATTACCAGCAGAAATCACCCGGCCCCGAAATTAACATCTTAATGCAAGTTGGGAACCTAAAGGAAAGAATCGTTATTGAAATAAGTGAAGCGGTTCCTTTTCTATGCCAGTGCTCTACCCTCTAAAGAAAATGCCTCAAATTTCTTGGGGGACCAGTGCTTCGATAGCTTAGAGTAAACCTCAATAGTGGGTCTGATAGCAGATCGCAAGAAAATCAGGATGGTTCAAGCAGAAATTAGGGATGGGGAAACCCTCTTTTGGGCATCACAATGGGTTTATGCGGCCTACGAGTGAACCTATTCTAACCTATGTACATAAATATATGCATACTAGTGAACCCGCTTAAGGCGTGTCGCACAGGGGTCAAATTTCAGATTACCTATGAAGACGTCTTAACCGAATCCCGTCGGGACCAAATTTTATATGTGGTATCTTCGACTATGGTAGTATCAATTTTGGGTATTAGATGAGAAAAAAATTAATTTTAATATTTTGAGTCTCCATAGAGCAATCAGAACTTTGCCCCCTGTGCGACACGCCTTAATCGTCTCTAATCGGGACCAAAATTTGTATGTGATATTTGTGACCATGGTATTACCGATTGAGGGGATGAGACTGAAAAATTCGTTTATTTGATTTTTAAGGACAATCCTAATGTAGTTATATGGAAGATAAATACGGTCTTTGAATATTTTTTACGCACATTATAAAAAACGACAAATTTTGAATTAATACACCTTTGAAGAAATTGTGTGATTATAGCTTTCGTTGACACCCATATTGTAGTATTTAGTTAATCTTATAAATTTAATTGAATTAAATTTATCAAATAGATGGCAACATGCTAAAAATATTTTCGAGAGTAAACTTTCTTTTACCTCTTTAGTTTGATACCCATATTGTAATATTTCGTCGTTTAAAGTATAAAACCGCGTATCAACAAAATGCAAAACCGCGTATGTGATTTAATTATTTTCTAGAGAATAAAAACTCTTATTTTTTCAAAATTGTTCTCTCGCATTTATGCTTAGTATATTTCAGGACGAATGGATAAGGATTGAGCCAAGAGCTTGTGCGGTTTTGTACTTTAAACGACTATTTATTTTATCTTATCAATTTAATTAAAGTAAATTTTCAGAACAGGTGGCAACCGTGCTCAAAAGAATATTTGGTTGAAAGCTCTCTTAAAGCACTTCTTAATACCAATATTGTAGTATTTGATTTATCTTATCAATTTAATTAAATACAATATTCCAAAGAGCTGGCAACCCTGCAAAAAAATATTTTCGTTCCTAAGCCTTTTTAAACGTCTTTAGTTTACTACCCTTAGTGTAATATTTATTTTAACTCATCAATTTAAATGAATTAAATCATTCAAGCAGGTGGCCTGCCCTTCTCAAAAATATCTGCGGCTGTAAGCCTTCTTAAACTTCTTTCTTTTGACACCCATTTGCTTCCTTTAGCTTATAAATTTACTTAAACTGAAATATTCAAACTGGTGGCAGCTCCCTAAATTTTTTTCTTTTCAAACCATCCGGATATTATAGCGAACAAGAAAAGTGGTCAGATCGGTCAAGATTATTGCCCACCAAACAAACGAATTTCTCATTTACATATATACAGGGTGTCCTAGACCACTCGTCCAGCCGTCTAAAATGGAGGGAATTTTTGTTTTTTATTGAAAAATGCAAAAATATGAGCTACCAAATCAGGGATGCTCTGACATTCGGTTTCGACCGGAACTGGGTTAAACTGATTTTCTTAAACTAAACTTATATGTTTTTACTTTAACTTTTAAAAAAGTATAAAAGAACAATTGTTTGAGAGATTTTTCGAAACTTTAAGGCTTAATATTATCCGATCGGAAAACGGCCTTTTACTTTTTTACCGACTTCAATGCCTATGAAGATTCTTCTGACGTCACATTGTTCATATATATATTTTCTTTTTTCTCGCCTTACAGCTTAAGAACCAGCGAAACGAACTACCTGAATGAAGCTTATCAATTTTATGCAGCGATTAGAGGTAGAGCATATTATTCGCGTGCGATCAAGGAGGATCGGCCCGATTTAATGGTGAAAAAGTTGCGCTATTATGCGCGATTTATTGTTGTTTGTTTGCTGTTGAAGAAAATGAAGCTGGTTCGTGAGTTAGTGACGGAGCTGGAAAAACAAATACAGGAATACACAACAACGTAAGTAAATAAATACAACAAAAAAACCAAAACTTTAGTAAAGTGAAAAAAACAAAATTAATTCAATTTAAATTGAAATTTTCATTGCAGTTACGAGCCAGAAGACCATTTAGAATGGTCATTAGTTTTAGAAGAGATAAAAGGTTTTATAAAAGCTGAAGCTGCCGTGGCTGTTCTTCATGCGGATTCCAATCCCATCATACTTTCACACAGGTGAGGTCAAAAGCAAAATTATACACGGACGCCGTGAAAACGCCGTCGCCGTCGCCCGTGCTTTCTGTGGGAGGAAATAGAATTTAATTAAACCTAAAGAAAAGAACTAATTTACTAACTAACTAACTAAAAAAAAAAAAAATTTAAATTACGTGTTGAATTGTACATATTTATTTTGGGAGGTACTCTGGTTACAAATTTAGTTCGGATTTAATTTGATTTCGATACATTTTATTTGATATAATTAGTTAAGTTAATAACTTTATAATATGATTATGGAAAATATTTTTGTTTGATTTAATGTTAAAACGATATTTATATATACATAGGTTATTGTGCTTATCACAGAAGACTTGAAACATCCGAAACAATCATATAACAACATCAATGTCATCAACGCATTCATTAGTCATACATATTTACATTGTCGTACATTCTTACACGAGCGCTCATTTAGGGTCACGAATCAACACTCATGACTCATGATTCACTGATCGATCATTAACTCATCCAAAAAACTCCGTACAGTTCATGCGAGCTTTTTTGTTGTTGTCATAGGTTGTCACTTTTTTACAAAACGCTAAATTTCACTGGCAATATTTCTTCGCTTATTTTGCAACTTTTTTTTGCAGTTTGACAATTGTGTTGCTGATGACATTGTTGTTGTTATTATTATTGTTATGTTAACTCCATCTCACCGATCAACGCGTCTCACTTGCACGCACACACACATGTCAGTCAGTTGATCAGTCTAACCACCAGCTCACATCTCACACTCTCCAGCAAATCCCTTCACCAAAAAAAAAAAAAATTATTTATGAAAAAAAAACAGAAAAAATATTCATATGCGCACTGCGTAACGCACAGCGCGACACGCTTACCACATACATACATCACACTCATCACAACCACAACCACCTTCACCTCCGCTACCAACCACCAACCACCAAACACCAACCACCCACCACCCACCACCCTCCATACACCATTTATAGCATCACATTCTCAATTCTTCTGTGAAAGCACGGGCCCACACCGCCGTCTCTTTAGAATAGCTTGACTTCACCAACTGATATTCAGTGGTTCCGGTTCTAGGTTATCGCCGCTAACGACGCCACCGTGTGAACGTTCGCCCCACATGACGTTGAGCCTGCAGGAGATACTCATTGTAGGTTCGGCGTGCGAGCAGGCGAAGTTCTCCGAGTTAACAATGGACATGTTTAGGTAAAGTTAAAACGCCAATGATTTATTTACTTGCGCTTTTATCATCTACATACATATTTAGTATTAATTNCCGAGTTAACAATGGACATGTTTAGGTAAAGTTAAAACGCCAATGATTTACTTGCTTGCGCTTTTATCATCTACATACTTAGTATTAATAATATCGCCTTGTATTTTTGCAGAATGTTACAAACACTCGAACGAGAACCAACGGAATCAACACATCCGATGAGCATCACACATGGCATGCACGGGCACGATGCCAGCCCGGCTGCCAGCCGCATACCACCATATGGTGTTCCAGGTTCTAAGGGTTACTTAGAAAATGGCCGTCATTATCGAGACAATCCTCACAAATATTTACTATACAAGCCTTCTATTAGTCAACTTCTGGTGTTCTTAGCTAGTGGATTTAAAGAATTGCCTCCAGGAGGCGCATTACTCTTATATATGTCAGCTGATGGTTGTTTCTCGACTACAAAGCATCCAGAGGATTGTAAGTATTTACATAAGTATGTACTTGGATTTAGTATAGCTGGAGCTATATACACATTAGAATCGTCCTTAAATATATCAACATCATGAGGCACCCCTTTATTTTGTTCTACCCGCTTGAAAGCGAGCAAATGTTAGAAGGCAAATTCTCAGCAATGGCTTGTGTGCTGGGCGTGGGACCCGCCACGAAAAAAACTTCCCATGAAAATCTCAAAATTGGCACAGATGAGTAGTCTTTCCAGCAAAAAACAAAAAAAAAAAATTCCCCTACCACTTGGGGGTGGGGGTGCCGATCGATAAGTAGTCAAAAGAGCTTTTTTTCTTCTTAAGCTGAGCAAGCCCTAACTCTCGATGATGAGGAGAGTCCTAATGGATCATTTGCTAAATACTTGGCTATCTACGAGTTGTACATACTTACGCATTCAAGCGATTCAATGCGTGAGACTGTGCTTATGTCCTCCGCCAGCCTACAGAACCTGCCGTCCATCTCGTTAAAAAGTTCCAGATATCCCGTGGTAGCTCTTAGGACCTCTAAGAACTAAAGTTAAACAGTCGTTTAGAGATTCCACGAGAGGATACCATTGGAGCTGTGTTGTGTATCCCTTGTATGTGTTGTGAAGCCCCTTAGAATGGCTGAGACCACGCAGACTTCTTTAAACCCTTATGAGCTGGAATACACCAAAAGTTAACCTTTTTAAGGGCTTCTAGTTTCTTCAGTACTCTTTTTTTAACATGCTGATATGTAGTTTTGACACGATTTTACGTAAGTCTAAGGCTCGCCATGTTGTCTGTCTGCACAACATGATATTTATTGCGGTCCAGTTAAACCTTCAATGAAAGACGAAACTTTCCATCTGGAATATGGTTGTGTATGCCATTTCTGAAATCTAGGTCCTAATACGCTGACCCCAGTACTTCTATCGTCAGACTTGGAACCATCAGTGTACCGGCTTGGAATCCTTCGCTGGTTATCACCTTACAAGGGTCCCTTTCAGGAGGGAACGTATTTTAGGGTCTGATAAAGGATAACTGCGGCAGCATTGCGCCTTTGTAATTTCGGTTAGGAGGAGATTGCTGCAACAGTTGCGAACTCAACTATCATGAACAGACTTCCAACAACGTCGTGGCTGTTCTTTGTTTCAAGGATGACTTATGTGCATATGTATATCTTGACGACAATGGATACTTTCCGAGAGTAGCATTAGCATCGAAATATCCCAACTTTTCTTGAATGTCTCCTAACTAACGAAATAGTGAAATATCCTAGCTTCGTTGTTACATCAGACCTTTCCGTTCCTACATACCTATCCCCCGGAAAAGCTAAAGAGTGTGTTACCCCATGGCTATGGTTAGCTAAAATATGCTCGCATGATGGAGCTCTGTTGAGCCAAATAAAAACAAATGCCGCGATGCAACTTGAGCCATGAGATGGCCTCTGACATGCCAGAGAGGAAGTTGATGATGTTCTGCTTTTCTTTTTGGGAGCGTTTGGACTTCGTAGGCGATATAAAAGGGTGGTCGTAAGAGTGGCATTCGGCAGGTGTGAAGCCTAGATTACTATATCGAAGGCTGAGTGGAAGATCGCCCCATTTCGGCTGCCGATCCGAAACAAAAAAATTAGGTTGAAGAAAGCCCTATNTATTGAGATATAAAAACAAAAAAAAAAAATGTATACGAACAAAAATGGTGGGTAGGCACTGCAACTAAATGGTGCATGTTTTTAGGCGCGCCTCCTATTCTTTTGGAGATTTCTGGCGACCAAAATTAGCGATAGCGAATGTTGGGATCCGGTTGCTGCTGACCACGCAAGCTGAGTATAGTTTAAAATGGCTCACCATTCGCCTTATATGACTACATACTATAGGAGGAGAATTTCTGCATCAAAAATTAAATTTTTGAAAAAATGTCGCTTCCCTTCATTGGGATGGTTAGGGTTCGATATGATAAAAATAAATAATTTTTCCATTACATAATAACTAAATACACTTTTCACAATTCGTTTGCAGATGGTTATGAATTGGGTGGCCTTGCTACGAGCGTCAAGCGTGATGGCGTCGAAGGCGGTGGCATTGCATGTCGAGGGAAATCCTACAAGGAGAATCATTGCCTCTATCCCGGCGATTTGTATCCCTTCACACGAAGACCAATGTTCATTATCATCGATTCGGATAATTCATTTGTCTTTCAACACATCCCTCGGTACTTTGGACAACCGTTAGTCATACTAATGTCACCGCAAGATGTGCCGCCCGCATTTCAAGGTAACTTTTTTCGGACGCAATTGATTTAGTAGTAAATCAACTCTTTCTTGTTTTTTTGTTTTGTTTTTTGTATTTCCTCCAAAACACAGCTGATGTGCAACATCATGGTTCGCTATTCACCTTGTTCCTGCATTCTCCACTAACGGCGCTCTGCTACATTTGCAATGTGGGCGATGTGCCAATACACCATTGGGAGCGCTGCCAATCGCATGTAGACCGATTCATAACAGAGGCATCAAGACTTGTGACGCGTTGTCGCATCGATGAAATCGAGCAGGGCATAGGATTTATAGGTGCGTGCAAAGTACCATTATTTTTCGTTTATTTAACTTTTGACACTTTACTATTTATATATACTATAGACTCATCGTACGTGCAATTCTTCGGCGATGACTTTTTACGTACGCTAATTTTACGTTTCGTCTTCTGTGATGTTGTACTGAGATTGCATCGTGGCTTTCGTGGACGTCATATGAGACCACGATGCGAGCCACCATTGCCATCCAATGAGTTACTGGAGCATCCATCATTGTCGCATATAATATTCCAATTAGCGTCGGGGCTCGATGTGCGCGGCCATTTCTCCGATGGACCCGAATGCGACTGATGATTTCTTAGTAATAATAAGTCTTGTAAAAATATTTATTATTTAAATTTACTTGTAGTACATAAAATAGTTATTAGTACTTGTACAGCAATAGTAAATGGAATGGGAAAAGAAAAAGGAAAGCAGGCGCGTGTGGAGTGTCGAGTAATTGTAAAATTATTAGGAATGGATATAAAATTGAAAGCAAAATTAGTAAATTTATTAATTATGATATTTATTATAATAAAATTATTATTACCATTTTCTATAAAAAATATATATTAGTATTTATATTTATTTCTTTTCTGCTTAGTATGGGTTCAATAATTACTTTTTTACGTACATACATACATCATACAAAATGCTTAGGCACTTAAGTAAATTATAAAAAGGAAGGCAAGCAAATATAAAATCAAGAATAGCAATTGTAATAAAAAATATGTAAATTATTTTATTTCTTTTTCGCTTAAATTATAATAAATTGTAGATATGTATGTATACTTTAACGATTATGACAGCTAACAAATTTTACAACTTTGCGAAAGGTAATCGATAATATTAATACTACATTATAGTTTAAAGCTAAAAAATTTAGCTGAGCTTCAAATGATGCAGAATATCATGAAAAGAAAGTCTCGAAGACATTTACATACATGCATACATATATAAATATAAAATTACATACATACATGCATATATAGTATAGATATGTAAATCGCTGAAAAAATGTTAAGCTAAAAACAGAAAATTATCAGAAGTACATTTATGCTTTGAAAAAAAGAAGGTATTTAAAAATTCTCTTTTTTTAATTGCTGTGCTTAAATGACTTTAAAGTGATCTATACTACATACATATAATTAGACTTGGTTTTAATACAAACACAAAGCATATTTAGACAAAAAAAAAATCACATTAGGGTGCCTCGGATTTTTTTATGTTTATAAAATTCGATTTTGTCGACTAGGTTAGCTGCGGTCACCCAAAAGAATCTGCGTAGTGTTTCTAGATACATTCACGACCATTTTAATTTATAAAATCGATAGTTTGATTTCAAATTTAAATTTTTTTATCTAAATTATCATTTAACCCATACCAATCACTTAACACGTCGCTATGGCATCCATGACAGTAGTCATTTAAGCACAGCAATCGCTGTTGTTGCGTCCCGGTGTATGAGTGTAGAAGCTTTAAATATTAAGGATGCCCATAGGTATGGCATCCAATGCTGTTAGTTAAGATGAAGCTTTAAAAGCTGCAATTTATTCAGTTAAGTACTTAAATATGTATCTATTGTTCTCTACCTCTTATTTAATACATACTAGTCTTTCTGCCACTCAAAAGGCAAGCCGAACGAATGTCCTTAATGCTCATGACTGGCCATACAATATACAACAGTTGAACACCGAAATGATATATGTAGTTCGATAAAAGTATAACGAAAATTATCAGAAAAAAAAAAAAAATAATAATAAAAAAAGCTGAAAGAAATTTAAAAAGTTTAATTTAGTTCACTTTCTTTACGCAAATAAAAAAATATTATGCATTAAAACTTATTTAATAAATAAAAGAAAAAAGAAAATATGATAACTAAATAAAAAAAAAAAATAAAATCGAGACCAAAAAACTCAAGACGCAAACTGTATTTTTACTATATAAAAAAAAAAACGCAGTAGGGTTTGTGTGATTAGCCACACGGCAAGGGCGATTTATGTGTAAAATTGAATGCGACAGATACGTTGATGAGACGAGACGATAATATTACATAAAAAAATAAAAAAAAATAAATTCATTTTATAATATATTTTTGCGGAAAAAAATTTTATACGATGCAATGAAAACAAAAATAAATATATGCAAACAAAAAACCCCCAAAAAAACTATAAATTTAAATTACGATATAATTAATAGCATATACATTAATACTTATAAAATATATATATATATATAAATAATAACTTTATACTTATGCATTATGAGACATACATATATACAGAAAAAGGAAGTGACAGCAGCAAAGCAAATCAATAGCAGTAAACAAATGAGCAGTGTAAAAACGGGGAAAGACGAATACATACATACATACATACGACATAATGAAAATTAAATAGCTTAAATAACTATGATAAATATGTATTGGAAGCCATTAAGACGTTGCATAACAAAGACCATAGCAGAAGTTCGAACAACACACGCAAGAAGTAGTAGTATGTACGATTATCCGAGTATTTCCAATGATATGGAGAATTGTGGGGGATGATAATTGAAAAGAATATTGTGAATATATATGTACATACGAGTGCATATGTATTTTTTAAATTAAAAACACTTTCCTATGCTTTTTTCATAAATGTATTGTAAATTTCCGCAATGCGACTGAGGGAAGATGTTTCATTAACTATTTGGCTTAGTACTCGTACAATATTAAAAAAAAAAGACCTTGATTGATTTAAAAAATTTCACACATACAAAAATAATTTTTACTTTTTTCGTGTTAGAGTTTCCTGAACCGATCCCACTCGGAAAGTGGGTAAAAGTGATGCCAACCAAGGGAGAACTCCCATTTTTTTTGCGTTATAATCTCTGTGTTCGTATGGAAGAGTAGCTTATGTCGAAAGGCTGGCTTTATTATAAATCGGCATTCGCAGCATATGATTGCGAATGATTTACGGGCGCTAAGCCGTTAAACAACTTTTAGCAAATAAACGTGCAAGAAATAGTTCCGATACTAGCAAGTCAATATTCTTTTTAAGTCTCATCAAAAAATTCCTTGTCGTTTAAAAAATAAAGGGAATGCCGCATTATACTAAAGCCGGCCTTTCGACATAAGCTACTTTTCCATACGAACACAGATATAATTATTTAATTTATTTAGCTATTTTTGAAGAAAGATATTTTTAACTATTTTGTTTGGCTATGAAACAAATTGTTTGGCTATTTTTAGCTATTTTTTTTTGAAGAATTTAGCTATAAGCCTAAAAATTTTCTGGCAACACTGATAGCGAAATTTTTCACTTTTTTCATGTTTTCGTTTGACGCTCTCTTTTCTCGTTTCGGTTTCGCCACCAAGCCATAATTTTTTTTTTTTATATTATATATCACAATTAATGATATTTGTTTTTTTTTAATAAAAAAAAAATTTGCATGAAGTACTTTAAATGTGTAGCAAAACTTGTTTCGAGGGAATTTTATTGAAAATAGGGGAATTAGCCCTAAGAGAGTTGGCATCCCTGGTAGGTAAGCACCTTACGAGGTAATCCATGTTTTCTTCCAGCTTTCAGTACCAAAATAGTCATCATGACCAATGTCATCTGCTAAATAGTAAAGCACAAAATGAACACCCCCGATGCCGCCTTACGTTGTCCGTTCCAAGTATTTAAAATGCCCGACTCGCGGTCCCTAAGATAATCTGGGACACTGAGAAAACTGTGGTTTCTCAGTTTTTCAGTGTAGAGAAATTTTTTCGAAGCATCGCAAAAAAAAACTCTCGATGTTTTGTTTTCCATATTCTATTATAATTTCCAAAGATTTATATATTTCGAGTTTAACCATAAAAAGTAGTAAATATTAATTAATATTTGAAGTTTATTTTTTGCCTCAAAAAAAAAAATTATTACTCTGGTTTTATTTTTTCTGACTAAAATAGTGATTATTTTCTAATTTTTATATTTTCGCTCAAATTTTTTGAATATTCAGGTCAACTGGTGGCGGTTGTATGGCCTTTTAAATTTTATAAATAAAAATTTTTATCTGTGCGAAAAATGAAAATTATAAAATAATCATTATTTGTGATCGCAAAAATAAAATCAAATTAAAATTTATGTTAAGCAAAAAAAATAATAAATAAAATAACACTAAAAAAAATCAAAATATCTTAAAATAATGTTCAAATAATGTTTTAAATTATTTTGCTTGCAATGATTACCATCCCTGGTTGTTAGCGTATAGATATTCTGCCGAAAACTGTCCAAAAATTTCCACGCCCATTTCTAGAAGATTCTTCAATTAAGGGGTTCGTCGCTTCAGACAAAAATCATCCCGAAAACACGATTTTTGACACCATGCTATATATACATACATATGTAAGTATATGTATGTACGGTTCATTGAGTTGCAGTAACAAATTGATAGAATTGTCACATTCATCAGTTTAGAAGACTATTTGAGCATAGCATTAGGCATGAATTTAAAATATTTGCCAGCGCACATCTTACCCTCAGTCCATTGTAAAATATATATTTATCTTGCTAGAAAATTTTGCCTAAGATTGCCAGACTCTTTATATATACTTACATAAATTTTTACCTACATATTATATATTGTAGTATACTGCAAAAACAGAATATATTTCAATTATAACATTTGGAGTTTCAATTATGTAATTATTCGCTTTGTTAAATGCCCGTTGTTTGTATGTATACCGATTGCGAACAAAAAAAAATTACAATTCCAAAAACTTAAATAGTTATACATACATATAATTGCAAAAACCAAACAAGTAAATAACCATTAAGTACTATCTTCCTTTTTCGAGAACCGCGCCCATAAGAGTTTCAAACTTTCCACCTACATTTGTTTAATCATTTTGAAACAAAAAAAAAAACAAAACAAAAAATATTTAAAAATATATTAAAGTAAATCAATTATAGAGAACAACTTAAAGTAATATTAAAAAATATACATACTTACATATACAGATATATTAGATTTTGTAATTAACTGGCGGATTATGGATGTGTAAGCCAAACTGGTTGGTTGGCGTTCATTGAATGAAGTCTTGGACTGGAAGCTGGTAAATAGTAATAGAGTACTTAATAAATAAATTCCAAAACGAAACTCGAAAAAATATCGAGAACTGCAAGAACAAACATTCAACATCTGCAGCCAAGCAAAAATAAAAGCAAAAGCAAAAGCAAAAGCAAAATAAACAATACTCTGCATTTAACCAACTAACGTACATATTGATATACGAAATCATTGCAAGCATTTACATACTTACATACATACTACATAGGTGCAACTATTTTCAGCAAGCAAACGAACAAGCAAACAAACAAACAAAAACAAACAAGTCCAATACAATGATACAGCTAGTTTCTTACGAATTGAAAATAAAATTTAAGCGCTTTCATCCATTTGTACCCGCCCCCCCCCGAAAATCTCTCAACCATCAATGCATACATACAAACAAAAATACGTAGTAGAAATTAGGAGTACACTGCCGTATTGGCCGGTCAAAGGCTCCCCCACTTAGTCACACAC